AGATGCCTGACCCAAAATCTGTTCTTACCTAACCACATCTGGATTACCCTTCCTCAACTATCTCAATGGGTCGCACCAGCTGACATTGGTTCATGAAAACAGTCTGCTCCAACATAATTGTTTGGATAAAATGTCTAAAAGTCATCCTCAGATAAGCAGTTACACAGTAACCAGCTTAAAATTACAACATTCAAAGGATCTTAAAAATTCAGGAATAGCTATAGCATGCAGTACTTTCCAAGCATGGGTATACTGAGGATATAGAGAGGGCAAGCTACTGTGGTCAGTAAAGAAGGCAGAGCACATCAGTAAAGCACAGCCATAGGTGAAACAATGTTTGATATATGTAACGATAAACTGGAAATTCCATGTATGGAGTAAGTCCTTTAGGGGTACCCAGATGGGTTTGGTGTTTTATTAATTATTACGGTTAGAAATTAAAAGGTTTGGATACTGCTTGTTATGTGATGAATTTGCTTTGAATCAAGTAACTTTGACGATAATGAGTAAATTGCACTTCTGGTTGTTTTTATTGAACTTAGGAAAATTTCCCTGTCTTGGTCACTCTCCAATGTAACTACAGAAATTTTGAAACAAGCATCTTTGGTAACTTAAAAACACTTGAGATTTTTAGGCTAGAAGGAAAGTACAAGGAATTTAAACATTGGTTAAAATTTCTTTGGAAAGAATTCTGTTACTTGTTTATCTATTTTTTTAATAATAAATGATGAAGACATCACAGTGCCCAGCAATGTTATTGCAATCCACCCCTCTGTGGGGTAAATAACTAAATAATGAGACTCACCATGGGATTTTTGAAAAATTCATATTTTGCGTAATTCTTTCTGAACAAAAATTTACTTTCACTTCCCATTGTGGATTCAACTTGAACTATGAGCTCATGATCTTCCAAGCACCTCTCTGTGGAAAAAGAACATGGTGTTAGTACACAGCCAGCCAGCAGGAGTGAGACCAACTAAGAACAGAAGTTGAAACAACCCAGTGTAATTCTATTATCTTTCAAGAAATTAGCAAAACACATTCTAACATATTGCCATGAGGCAATACTTTACTTTGTAATGTATTACAAAGTTTAACATTATATGACAGTGTTCTTCAAGGAATTCCTGTATCAGGGCTTCATAAGCACAGACTTTAAAGAAAGCAGTAATTTTTTTGTGTGCAGTAGCTACAATAATACAGACAAACCTCTTCTTTTGGCAGTGGTAGTGTGCTGTGGAACTGGCAAGGTGGACAGGTTTAAGGGGGGGAAAAGTTACATAAAGGCCACTCTTGGGTCTTGAACTATCACAGAAATACAGTGTTGTTGTATTTGATCACACTCTATAAAACCAGTCCATTTCAAGGTGAACTTCAGGCCTTTATTGTAGATGCTAGACAATGGTGTTTATTATGAAAGCGGTCACAGGATCTACTTTACAGGAATACTGACAGAGACAAATGTTTTGTACACATGACAGGGCAATTTTCTGCTCTAGATTTGGTTACAAGGTAACTGCCCATAACCACCACTTCTCTGGTCAAAAGAATGGCACATCAAAGCATGGACAGATAGCTTAACAAACCCAATTCACTGAAAGCAGTAACTAGAAAGAAGGCAACTGGCTAAGGGTGCACTACTTAATGAACTCATTATCTTGACAAAAACTTTCTCAGAAACTATTTAGGTATTTTTCAAAAGTTTTAACTAGTCAGTGCTTTCATGCCTTATGTAATACAAAATTTAAAAATTAGGTCAAACAAAATGTAACTTTTGCAAAACATTAAGCAAAATGCCTATGACTTGCTGACCAAGGAAGTTTGGAAAGTCCCTTCCCCACTTTGTGTTCCTGCAATCCTTGTATTCCTGCAGTAAGAAATGCCAGAGTGCCACCCAAGTTCTCTTGGGGTGTTTTCAGGATAGAAAGCAAGCAGTCATTGGCATCTCAAAGAGAGCAAGCTCTGGAATATCACTTGAATTACTGAACTCACAGATTATGTGGTGTTCTTTGATTGAAGATTTAACTTATGACTGAATGATCCCATAATCTTTTTCTCCTGCACTTAGGCTATCAGTCATCACCAGCTCATTGATGACTTCAGCATTTACTGTGCATTTGTGATGTCCAGCTTTGCTCTAGAATGCGTTTTCAACAGGGTTAACATTGAAAAACCTCCATAATGGGATTGCTCTCAAACAAAGAGCTGTTTCTTAGTGCATCAGGTGTAACATCACTTGGAAGCGATAGTTTTTTGACTAATGTGCACAACAATACTGCTACAGGGTTGCGGGTAATAAATGACATTTGGCACCACCTCAGCATTCATCACCTAAACCTACACCTTTCTAGGGGTTTTGCAGATAAAGTTTCAGATATTGCTGATCTGATGCTACTATAATGGTTTTTAAGCAACTAGTGAAGTCAAATCTCCTCCACATTGTGATGAAGACTGTGGGCCTATGAGGGTAAAAGGCCTATTTTTAAAATTATGCTTCCTCCAAAAAACATTTAATTACATTGGTATGAAGCTTCACTGCAGTATGAACCCTGAAAGATCCCATGTCCTGTTACAGTCTAGTTCTGCCACCACCCAAAGTTGTGGTCTTCGCTTTCCTAACACATTAAAAATTGCTTGTAAGGGACAAATTCTTTACTCTGTTCTGAGGAAATTAAATATAGATGAATATTTGTAAATTTGTTTTGTATTTCAGTGTTTAGTTTGTGTAAATATACTTAGTGCCTGTTTCTTAGATGCTCTAGACAACTGCCCTAGATGTGATTCTGTTACTACATCATGACCTGAGATTCAGGACCCGAGTATCAGCTGGTGATACTCCAGCTGATTTAATATTTTCATTTTGATGGCCAAAGCCATCTTGGAGAAAAGGTGCAGCATTTCATAGCATGTGCATGTAAAAAAAGGAAGCTAGTCCTGGTCAGTTTGCTATCACTTCATAGAAGTTGTACACTTGGGAAGTAATTTGCATTCGGTTGGTACAAATGGGATGAACCTGACACACGAGCAACTCAGCCTCAGCCCTTTTTTGAGCTTCCTGCTACAAAAACTAGAAGCACAGATGTCAGCCTGTTCAGTTCAATAGGTCAGTCTGTCTTCAAGTGGCATGGCTGTTGAAGTGACCAGAAATATGTCCTTTCAGTTTCTCTGATAGGCTCTCAGTCTCCTCTACACACTTCCTGGAACAGACTTTTCCCCCACCCCACCCAAGTTAATCTTCATTATTATCAGAACTTCTACTGAACTGTAACAGTGATACGAGGTGGGAAAAGGAGCTGGATTCCATCATAAACAACTCACAGGCATAGCCCAAAATTCCCAATCAGAGAATCACCACAAATGACAGGTGGACCCCTGTATCAAAGAGCCCATCCTGATTTTGCATTTAAGCAAGTGCTATGTTTAACTATTCCACTTTTAATTCACTCATATTAAAGGAAATCAATGCATGTTAACAAATAAATCTAGGTACAAAACTGCAGGAATGATTTCTTCTAACCCTCACATATTTCAGAGCCCTACTACGTTCTCTCCTGCTTCAATTTTATTTAGTAAGGTGTACAGTTAATTATGGAACTCGAAAAAATGAAGTGTGTAAGTAGGGAGGGATTCTTTCAGTGTCCAGGCACATACAATCATGTGAATGTCTTCACCATTATTATTTTTGTTTATGTCCAATACATAGATCTCTGTCCTAAATTGATGATAGTTAAGTATGGAATAGAACATAGGGGGAATACCACATTTTATAAACACGTTAGGTATACTTATAGTAGCAAATGAAATAATGGGACCAATTCAACTTTCATAGACTGCTTAAATATTGACTATAATGTGCTTTAGCTATTAGTGGTATGGTGCAGCAGGAACCACTTTCAAATGTCAAATCAAGAAAGTCTTATGGCAAATTGTCACACCACTGCCTCCAGTGAGAACACAAATGTTTTGTGCAGTCAAATAGCTGTTTAAAGTTATGTGTAAGCACATCTTTTATTTGGAGTATACTTGGCTATGTGTGTGAAGTGAACAGTGAGGTGGAGGTTCCTTACAAAGTGGGATGTCGAAGACCAACGCAATGATAAATATGCAGCTGGCTTCAAAAATTTGATCTTGCCCTCAGTCTGTCCAATGGTAAAACAATGAATTGGTTCTGCAAATCAAGCTCTTTTGGAAAGTACTATTAGGCAAAATACGAGGAGAAAAAAAACATAGTTCACTAAATGAGGGTGGGCTTCAATACTACTACCTAGAGCGTTAAGTCAGCAAGGATGTATAGTACAAGAAATAATATCTTCTAGAAACACACAATTCTGACTGCTCTTTAACCATATTCTCTTCATGCTATGTATTTATTCACCATTGTTTCATACTTATACTAGCAATCTTATATCTAGAGGAACAAATATGGACCATCAGATGCCTGATGATAACTTCAACCAGGCTACAGACAGATTACTACCTTGATCTGACAGTCTCTGAAAACAGGAAATCATGTAAGCTACAGAGGAGCTAGAAATAATTAAAAATTCAAATTTCAACCAAAACTGGTGGAAACATGAAAGTTGGTATTTAAACTTTATTGAATATGTATACTTAAGACCCCAAATTCAATTAACTGGATGATGTTGTCTCCTGTTAAATTAACAAATTTATTCCCTTTTCTGTCCTCATCCTTTCAAATATGTGAAATCTCTATAATTACATTTTTTAAAATTCTTTAAATATTTTTTGTCTGTTGGCTTTACACTCCCAAAGGTTGCATTACTTCTCACACTGATCTACTGTGTGGCCTACAGGGAACAACCCTGGGGTCGTCCCAGTGGAACCAAGTTTGGTGGCTGCTGAAGCCCCAACCTGCACACCCTGCTTCTCTGGGGCCCGCTTTGTGCTTCAGTGTGAGACAGAGGTCCAAGGCAGGCAGGTCCCCATGTATATAAATGCAGCCCGATAAGTATCTTGCTCTTTTCCCATCATTGTTAATTACCAAGTTATTTGTGTGTAAACAGAAGCTTTTGATTTCCTAATCAGCCTCCTGCCCGATTCATTCAGAGATGTCACACACCAGAGTTTGACAGCACAATTAGTCACCATGGAAGCTATTGTGATGTCACAAACACTGAATTGTGGCATCATTGAATGAATCTGGCAGGAGAAGGATGTTGGTTACAAAGGAGAAGGCTTCTGTTTACACAATACCTTGGTAATCAGCAATGATGGGAAAGAGAATATAGAAAAAAAGAGCCTGGTAGTTTAATGAGCATTGATAAAACTGAAAATTTGTAAAGGTTTTTAGAAGTGCATGTGGTGTATTAAGCTACGGAGATAAAGATTCTGTAATTTATACTTTAACTCTTCACCTCATCCTATGTCCTCAGAATTGAAAGCGTATCACAGACACAGACCAGTGAGTGTTTCATGTTAATTTTTTCATCTATTTCTACATTAGGAGAGATAATAAAACCATTAACTAATCAGGTTATCCTACGTCTTTGGGTTTTTTTAAGTGTTAGTCTGCAGAGCACTGAATTTATTAGTGTTTAACGGTATTGGTTTAGGGCATCACATTTCCAGCAAATCATTTCCTTTTTTCATTCGTAAGGGTTCTGAATTACATTTTTAGACATAAAATCCCCTCTGTAAGCTACAGATAGCATTCACAATTCCAGTGCTGGCGATTGCAGCTTATGATTTGCCTTCCTCTGTTTTCTAGAAAAAACATTCCTCATGAAGTATATCTACTAATACTCCAAATGCTACACTTTTTAAAGCGTTATTGTATGCCATGGAGAATTATAGATAGCATTATCTGAGCGATACACTGTTGCAAGCTGCACAGCAGAACCCTGTAACTAATCAGTGCCACAAAATAACAGGAAAAGCAAGACTGAATAACATGAGATCCTTTCAGGTACTGTAATTAAACCAATTCACGGTGTTATTTAATTCCCCACGGTTCTTCCTCTTGCTGTCTTCTTGAAACTGTAACCATGACACCTTAATTTCAATCAGGTGGAGGAGCTGCTGCCTGGAGAGCAGATACCACCACTGGTCCAGAAATTGCCCATGGATTTGCAGGTGGTACCACCATTTTTTCCCTGCCTGAAGTCAAGTTTAGCTAACCCCCTCCCCCACCTCAGCACGTCTGGCTTTCATAAGCATTACTGTAGGTATGTAAGGCTGAGTCTGTTCACCCAGGTCTCCCAGCTGGTGATGAGCTGAGCTGTTTCATAGGACCGTACTCTAAGGATCAAGCTTAATTTGCCTAAGCTGTTTATTTGCAATAGCTTCAGACACAGCAAAGTAGCAACAGAGCGCTAGCGTGAAGATTAGACAATTCTTCTTTTTTTTTTAATAACAACAACAAAAAAAAAACAAACCAGAGGATGGGAAATAAAGGAAGGACTTTAAATGGCTCAAATGCTTACCACATCAAATTGTAATACACAGAAAGCACGTATGTGACTTCAGCTAATTGTACAAATAAAAGCAGTAGAAAAGAAAACGTTCCATCTGGAAGCACATTTATATGAATTACACATGTTTTATGTTCCCAGGTAACCATGCCACCCCTTTGACCATTCCCTACCTAATCCTAGGTGAGGGTGATGCTCCACTAGAGTCCAGCTGTTATCATCCACACAATGACTTTTGTAAACGAGCAGCTGACAGAGGTCCCTGGCTGTCATGTCTGCTAGAATCTCGACCACTTTGCTTGTTCCATCTTCACTAAAGACTTTTACATCCTGCAACATAAAGGGTACACTTACAGATCAACAGCTCTGAACATAGGCAAACCACACAGCTACTGTAGAAAAGCATCATCCTCTTGGTGTGAGGGTTCCAAGCACCTTGGCAGCCAGGACAAATGAAATGGATGATTCACTTTATAACACTTTCTCTGGATGCCCCCTAGACCTATTTCCCCTCCCCCCTCCCCAACACCTCCCTGCACTAAACAAAGATTCAGCAGAGTTAATATGACCACGTACACAGGAAAAGTGAGAGAGCAGGTTCTGTATAAAGCTGTGTAAGGTAAGCAAACGTGAAACAATGTCGAGAGAGTACTTTGGCAACAGTGGGCGAGAGAAATCACATCCAGTCAAACACACACAATTTTCATTGCGATCCCATCGGAGGCCTCTGAACATTCACAGAGGAGCAGGCCAGGACCCCAAAGATTAAAAATGGCTCTCTTGTTCGCTGCTAACTTTTGCTTGTTTCATGTTAGGAAGTCCCACTTGCGGTTTGCCGGCAAATCAATTACCTAGCACAGTCCACACATTTCTCTCCCTGCCCTTACTTCTCTTTTGATCCTAGCTTGAAAGTAGTTTGAAACCAAATATGCATACGCTGTACATCCTAAATATCAATGGGGATGAGAGAACAAGTCAAGAACCTTCTCCCCCATCTCCTGAATTATACAGATGCTTTCCTCTTTGCATTGTTCTGCTCAAGCAAGAGACACTTCCTGCAAAATTATTTCTCCGGGCAAATGTGCAGGTCCCATATTTAAATCAACTCCGTGTTTAAAAAGCTCCGCATCCTAGCGAGAGAAGGAGAGTCTAACAAAAACCTAGAGGGTAATTCGATATGGAAAATCTTACCTCAACGGCACGTAAAAGGCAGCAGTCGGAAGAACAAGATGGCATTTTAAATGGGGATTGCCTCTTGAGAGTTAGTTCTCTGCCTCCGCCGACCCTCTGCAGCCTGCGGCTGGGCGCCTGGGGTGCCGGCGGCGTTAGGGGCGGCCGTACCCTACCTGTCACGTAGCCCCTGCTATGGGGACTGTTTCTGGGGAGGGAAACAACTCTGCCAGAGCTCCACTCAAAGGGTTACACGCAATCTTTGCGGTAGTGAATCAAACCACACTGTGCAGACCAATCCTAGCCCTCCCTCCGACTGATGTAATCATTTCCCACACACTATCAGACTTCCAAATTATTCCCGCCTCCCCCACCTCCCCCCCCCCCCCCCAACAAAGAAAAAAAAGGAATTACAAAGGAAATGTGTTTTTTTTTTTTATGACGACCTCGGGGCGCTTGAGACGCCTGGGGCGGCGGCGGCGGGGCGGGGCGTGGGGAGCCCGGCACGCGTGTTCTGCTGCCCCGGCGCCGGTCCCGCCCGCAGCCCGACCTGCCCGCGCTGATGTCATCGCCTGCAACTTGGGCACTTGAACTTCTCCGCCGCCGCTCCGCGCTTCCCGCCCGGCCCGACTCCGCTCCGGGCCCCGGCGGTGCCACCGCGCCGGGGCAGAGCGAGAACGGCCGGCCCCGCCCCCACCCCCCGCTCCCGGTGCCCCGGCTACACACAAATTCGAGCCCAGTGAGGGAGGAGTTAAAGCCTCATCCAGCCTAAGTGACTCAAACCCGCGCGTTCAGGAAACGGCTTCATCTGACAGCAGGGATGAGCCAGCTCTTTCAGAAGTGGGCTCCGGAAAGGAGAGGAGCGGGAATCCCGGTTGCTCTGGGGAAGGCATGCGTGCTGTGCAGTGTTACGGCTGCACTCCTGCCAATGCTCAGCCAAGCCAGAGGCATCCTCATACACGCAGGAATTTGCTGGGCGTGGGGGTGCCCCCATTTTCTGTCCTGCGGGCAAGTCTCTATTGTGTCGCTAGCGCCGTGTCGCAGCAGAGCTCCGCATCACACCCGCAGCGGTCCCGGCCCGCTCCGCCACTCGGCAGCACGCCCGTGGGACGGGGGGACACAAATGGATCGATGCCCGAGACACCCCGCAGGCATCGCACCGGAGTGTGCGAGTGGGGAGCGCAGCTCTCGTGTTCTCTCACTCCCAGGGTGGGCAAACACACCGAAAAGCCAGTATGCAACAAGACAGAAAGTAGCTATTTTGTTTGTTTTAGTGGGGAATGGCAGGGACTAACACCCGCTTGTTTTTTTTCTTCTACTTTTTGTAGTATAGCCATAGATTGGACCGAAAAGTTGGCGGTGAAAGAATTCCTTTCTACTTTCAGATTACTCTGAAAGTGCACGTAACTGCACTTTCTGTATTGAAACTAAACTATTTTGGATGGATTTCCTGCCTCGGAAACCAACCTGGTGACATCATTCATTCATTAGTCACGAGAAGCACATCCCTCTGCTCCCTGCCTCAGCTTTCACAGGGGAGCCCGAATCAGGAATATGCTACAGCAATCGCCACTTTCGCAACACCTGGAGGACAAACCCCGCCTCTTTTCCTTTCCTGCTGGGAACAAGGCAGTGATACAGACAGCACCTGATCACTGTCAGTGCCAAGTCCCAGAAGAAAGGCAAAGCTGTTTTACTTGAGGGTGCCTCTCCACCCGTGCAGGTGGAAAAGCGAGAGCTGTAAGACAACCACCACACTTTTCTCTGCTCCCAAGCATTGAAAGCCTTATTGCCATGTGGCCACTGGAAGAAAGCTGCAGCTGTCTTTTATGCTCATTCATGCTCTGCTCTCTCAGTATGAAGTAAAGGGGTCAGGGGTATGTGTCCCACCCTCCCCCTCCTTGCCCAGAGTCTGAGCTGATGCTGATGCCAGCTCCCCCTGAAGCACCCCAGCATTTCAAACTACTGGATACCCAACACTGCAGTTTGGTGTACTACTACTGTAATGCCATATTCCCTCCTCCAGAGAGCCAGGCTCTGGAGGCAGCACCCACTATCCCCACACCACAGCCGCTATGGGTGTTGGGTTACAAACATGGATATGTTCATTAATGGGACCAGTGAGTCCTTGGGGTGTTAACGGGGCCCTTAAGGCCCAGGGACTGGAGTGCAATGGGTGGGCAGCGTGTACGCAGTGATGAGCAAGTTAACTTCACTGACTATTAATAGTGCTGTGTATGCCATCAAGGACAGTGCAAGGCCATGTATCACCACTGACATCACAGATATAAAACACTGCATCAGGAGGGGATGTAATAGCCTGAGCCGAACCTGCCCCAGGGGACAGGAAAGAGGCAGAAGTGAGATGAAACACTGTGCCTCTGCAGAGGCAAGAGTGCAACAGTCCCTAAGAGGCTTACATGGAAGGTAAGGGGATTTTGCGCCCCCGCACAATGCTGCAGAGTTATGAAGTATAACCACAAATACTAAACCAGCTTGACAAAGCGTCACCTCCAACAGCTTAACAGCTTCTGTGACAAAAGACACAGATAACAGTATTCCTGCATCACAGAGAGGGCTGAATTTAAAATCAGTTGGTCAAATCCAACTCTCTCACTTTTCCTTTTTCTCTCTTTCTATTTTCGTAAGGGAGCACCTCCCACTTTAAGGGTTCCCTATTCAAACTTCATCCAGCAGAAACACTGTTTCATTTCCAAAATTCATTTAGGGCTTATTATCTACAAAGGAAAACAAAGCAAGATTCACTCAAATAAAATACCCTAATAATGCAAACACTTAGCCTGATGAGAGGTTCAAAAAGTTAGTCTGACACTCTTGCACTGCATCCCTCTGAGAAATGCAGTGAAATGCAACAGCAGACTGCCTGCAACAGTGATTTACAAAAGGCCCTAATTACGTCAGCAGCACAAGGCACCTTCTATTCAAAATTAAGGTTAAGAATGCTAAGCCAACCAGAGCACTATATTGGCTGAACATTCAGTGCTTTACAGCGCAAGGGAGCAGATAACAGACTGCACCATTGTTCTGGGAAGAAGTCTTCCCCCAAGCTTTTCTTTTCTTTTTTCTAAAGACAAAAAGACTTTAAAAATTAAAAATTTAAAAGAACATTAATATTCATCACTTCAGAGGTTTCATATAATGGGTCGCATATCTTGAGTATCTTCATGGCTGTTTCATCTTCCAGCCTCAGTTCCTCAACCTCCCTCAGTATTTTGTGTGTATCAAGTAATGCAAATATTTTAGGAATGTGAAGGGAAAAAACCAAAACAACAACAAAAACCAGAAAACCCAAACAGTTATGTGATGGTCACATAATTTCTTCTCCACTTCTTATGCTATTTCTTTCCTTTTTCTTCAAAACAAAACCTATGACTATACACAATGACCACAGAAATTCACTCTTTTACATGATGTTATGCTAAAAATCTTCAGTGGGAAACAGATTTACATTTACATTCTACAACCTGAAATTAAACAGTGTAATTTATATCAGTGCAGACCAACCCACGTTATCCTGGGTTATGACTCCAAACATAAGAAGGAAGCACCAGTTATCAGAAGGCCCTCTGACTGAAATCTATTAGATCAAAGGTGTCAGTATACTAGTTCTTTTAGAGTTTCCCTTTATAAGAGATGTAGATCAGAGACTTCACAGAAAACTATTAAAGTACACTGGAAAATCATTACTAAGAGCTGCACAAACAGAAAATCAGTCCAGCAAGTTTTGACTTCCATCCCCCCCATTTTCACTCATCAAGACTGGTCAGACATGATTATCATACAATCGGTGAGGTAAATAGAAGGA